ACCTCTGAGCTCCGTATCAGCAGAGGACAGAGTGTGCGTCAGTCAGTCTGGCACGACTGTGTTTACCACATGTGTGTGTGATTTGTTCTTGCACAGTCCTTCTTCCTCCTGCCTCTATTCTTTATGAAAATAAACACAGTTGATAATGTTTTAAAATTCCCATAAAACTGCTGGCAGAGTACCATTATGTTCAGCAAATATAGGACAGGCCAAACACGGATATCGATTAGCATTTACAGCAACCAATAGCGCAGATTTCAGATTGACACCATTACTAACTCAACATGGAGGTCAGCCTGCCCTCTGTTGCCAAGAGCTGTTTGCAACCACTGTCGTCTACACCAGCATTTATTACAAATTGGACAGAGATGAAAAGGAGGAAGAAAAGGACCATGAAGTGGCTGTCTTTGTAGTAAGGCTGTGTTCGTACAAGCCGAGATTCGAAACTGCAGTGCTGGAGAAAATGACACTCAGGTTTATTACCACAGTGGAGTCTTATTGGTCGGCTTGTGTCTATATGATGAGACTGTGATATACTGTAGGTTGAACCAGATACGTGCCACACACCTTAGGAAAAAAAACAAAAAATGTGCGCTGCTTAGACTACCGCTGATAAATCCAATTACCGTCTGTTTACTAATCTACTCAAACAGTTGATAACTTTCTAGTAAAGTCTGTGCTTGTTGTTTTTTCCTGTGGTTTGGTGCCACCCTCCACTATCTGACATTTAGATCCTCTCACACGCCGCTGATTAGCAGGAAAGTGGACTCAACAGTGGGACGTTGCTCTTAAGAGCTGGCAGGAAAAGCCCTCTGAGGTTTGTCCAACACGGCAGACTTTAATGGGACGTCCTGGTGAGCGTGCAGGCTCATGTTTGCAACATTATCCTCATGTGTACAACAATGCACTTACAGATACAGACACAAGTTTGTTTGTCAGAGTCCCGCTGTAGGGTGTCTTCCAAAGTTTCCTGTAAAACTACTGACGAAAAAAGGAATGGGGGAAACTCCACTTTCTATACATCAACTATGTGGGAAAACATACATATATAATATAAATACTGTAGACAATTAAGTATGATAATTTACATGAGTTATACATCCTCCATATGTCTTAATTTAACATAGATTACAATATGAATGATTGAACATATTGAATGTTCCTTAATTTCAGAACCATCATCATGAGGTTGCACATTGTGAATGGGGTGAACTTCACAAAACTCAAAAAAGTATTCTTATTACATTGTTGAAGTTAAGGTCAGTTAACACTCATCATAAGTATCACTCAGTACACTTATAAAAGAAGACAACATTTCCCACAGAAAAATATTTTTGATTTTATGATCAAATATGACCATTTTTGAACAAAGGTTTCCTTCAGACCTCTGAAGTCACATGGTGTGATATCAGTTTTTTATTTAATTTTATCACTAGAAAAAAAGCCGCAAGGAATTTGTCAGGAATGGCCCCATTCATTTCTGCACAGGACGCCAGTATAGCTTACAGGCAGTGATACTGTGTTCAAACAGTGTCTTTAAATGACACACAGACTCTTACCAGAGAGACATTATTTTAAATTGGCTACTTTTGAACTGATAATAGTGAGAAATGCTGTTTGGTGGGCGCTTTGATCTTTACAGTCACAGTATCTTGGGTGTATAACACAGTTGGAGAAACCGGTTGAACTACATATTCTGGTCGAGACACCGTCCTTCAGATTATACAGAAGTGTGCATTTGAATTAGCTGCCATGACCGTATGCTGGCAGGCACAGAGCTGCTGGATACAAACACAGATTACACACCGACATGCAGCTTTGAGAAGCGAGGAGTTAAATGAATCCATAAAAAAAGTTGCCATCATCTCAAGCCTGACGGATGAATGAATGTAAGAACTTGTGAATCACACTTTGAACGTAATTCTCAAGAAACATGCTATAACATTGTTGCCTAATTTATTTCACAACATTTCAAATTCAACTCTATGTTGCCAAGAAAGGGAAAAAGGTCAAAGGAACCGAAAGGGATTACTAGAGAACTTTTTATGTCATTATAATTATTAGGATTTAATGGCAATAGCACTAGTACCAAATGTATCAGTTGATTAAGCTCATCGTTAAGATGATTTAGATTCTTAAATAAGAAAATATTCAGTTTTATTAACATTGTGTTTAAAAATGCCATTCAGATAGGTGTTTATTCATAGGGGTATGATGATAAACAATATTATAGCCATTCTTATTGCAACAACGGATATGTTGTTTTCTTCTCAAACAAGATACCTTTTTTCAAGGGGCCATCATATGTCTATTTATTATAATCATAAAATGTATATGAACTCACAAAAAGCAGCTAAAATATGATTAAACAATTGTATTACAGAGCTCTGTTGGGTGGAAATGTTTACACAGTTGTGCCATGGGAAGTTGTATGGTAAAGATGATTTAAAGTATCTCATAATTTCACTTACTGGATTATTGAGTGTTTTTGTAATGGTTTTATTTCATAGGCTGCCAGCTCAGATTACTTAGTCTATCCATGTAAAGCTTTTATTTGAATCTTGAGAGCTTTTTAAAAAATGCACTAACTTACTGCTACAAAGTTTGTTTCATGAAAGCAGTCTGTGAGAAATAATTAAATGTTTCAATTTTCAAAAAGGAAAGGAACAAGATGTATTTGCCAACAACACTTAACCTTTGCAATTCCACCTTTGTTTAACCAGAATACGAGTCCCTGTGTAAAGACAGCAGCCGAGTGCAGCCCTTCATCCCGGATCCAGATTAATGCTGCCTCCAATCCAACTCCAGAGAAAGTTCTTATCATGGAGAGTCACTTTGACAGCCTTAACAACCACAAATACACACACGGTAACACACACACACTCACACAGTTATCAGCCTAATGGAAAAGTAAAAGGGCTGCTCTGGTTGACTGGAGCAAAGCAAACACTGAGAGACAGATAGACCAAGACAAGAGACAGGTGGAATACACACGGGGCGTTCACAGTCACACACAAACACACACACACACCTCCACATCACAGGGTATTAGAGGCACTGTGCACACAACCACCCACGCAGAGCACTTCATACACTCCCCAGCAGGATGTACAGGCAGACACACACAGTAAGTAAGCTGGATGTTGCCCCAATGCAAAATAAGGACTGTACTTAGTCTCTTTTTCTCACAGAAACACAAGTAGAGCTGCAAATATTAATTGATTAGTTTTCAACTTCTAAAATAATCGGCAACTATTTTGATGATCCATCAATTATCAAATATTTTTTTTAACTCCTGTGTGACAGTCATCTAAATATCCTGGATTTGTGAACAAAAAAATGACTAAACAATCAACAGTTATCAATGAAGACAAGTGTTACCTCCAGTGCCAATATACACACACATCCACAAAGAAAGACACGCACACCTAGAATATAAGGAGATGTGTGTACTATGGGAACATGTCTTTGTGCTTTTTCTATACCTGGGGAATATTTAACTTACATTTCAGACATGCCATACTATTGCAAGTACAGGCCTGGTTTATCGTGAATGGAATCCATGCCTACACATACACAAAGTGCTACTAGTTCTGAGGTTTACAGTTTCCTGCCGTGTGCCATGAAGACCCAGTTTCAGGAGTCGCTGAAAACCAACAGCATGACTCATATAGAAAGAATCAGTAACCACAGACTTAATAGTAATTTGATAAATGGTGTGTTCAGCATAAATAATTGATCAACAGAGTTTATAAGGCACACAAAAGATGATAATGTTGATTGAGAAAGATGTTGAACAACTGTATACCCATTTGGGGGGCTTTAGTTAGTTGTACAGTTGAACTTCATTAAGTGGTACTGTTTCTTCAACTAACAAACTTAATCGAATTTAATTAATCTACCATCAAATCATTGCTTTAGAAAACGACATGACATTAAGTTTTGTACGCCCCAAAGATATTCTGTCAAATATATTTTAATTATAGGCCAATTATGACATTTTCACATTTAAGAAGTTGTAACTGTCAAATGTTTGGCTTGTCTTTGTTTGAGATATGAATGAAATGATTATCACGTTTTCTGTCAATCACCTTATCGATTGTTTTAGCTCTAGTTTCTAGAATTTTGTCCAGTTTGTTCAGTTTCCTTGTCCAAAATGTGGTAGACAAAATATGAGAAATATATTGTTGAATCTCTTAAACAGCTTGGACTAAATCTGAACAAAATAAGAACATTATTGGCAAATAACTTGGTGTACAAATCTGGCATGTGAGTTTATAGGCTTTCAAATACAGATGTGAAAATATGTTCACACAGCTCTGCCATCAGCAGACAGAACATCTGGACACCACAGCAGTCAGGTTAAACTGAGGTTGTTCCCACAGTAGAAATAATATACATATTGAAAAGTCTTTTTGAAATCACATCCTGACAGCATGGTGTATCAGTGATTTAACTCAGCGTTAATCTGCACACTTCCTGATCTCTGCTCATTTCTGGGAGCAGCAGCTTAAGTGCTGACGTGCTCTATCGGCTAACCCCCCCCCCCCCCCCCCCCCCCCGGCCCTGAGAGCCAGGCCAGCAGCCCCAATATTAATAACAATCCCTCTGCATGCTTGCACCTTTTATTCTGCTCTCACATTAACCGGTGCAGCCACGTTAAAGTGGGTGACAGGCTGCTCGGCGTGGACGTGCTCCTCTGTGACTTCACCAGGGAGCGAGCAGCGGCGCAGCGGGAGGTCCGTGCCCGCCGACCGACCAGCCCCGATCCCCCGCTGCCCTTGTCTACACTCATCTCCAGCAAATCAATGCCTGCACACTGATACTAGCGGGCCCTTTATCACATTCATCACAGCATCGGTGCAGCCTGCAAAAACAGAGCCAATAGAAAAAGGAAGAAAAAGAGGCACAACAGCGCCAAATCACGCCGCTTTGTCCGGGGAGAAAACATCCACCAGGACACGGAGACAGAACAAGCAGTCGAGGAACAGAAATCCTACCTTTCGACTCAGCGCTGTCCCCGAGTAGAAGTAGTAGGCTATCCCCAGCACCCACAGCACCGCAAAACATAACAATATCCTCGATTTCCTCCGCATGACTGCCTCGTTTTCTCCGTCAGCCCGCCTGTGTGTTTTGGTGGCTGTGGTCGGGCTGCAGCGGCTCGTACCGGTGCTCTGTGTCCGTGCAGGGCGCTTCGCCGTGCGGCTTCGGCGAGCTTCGTCAGTCGGTCAGGGGGAGCGGAGGGAGCAGGAAGCAGCCAGCATCAGCGGGGTGAGAGGGCAAAGGCTAGCCGGCTCTAATCCAATCAAACTCCGGCTCAGGCAGCCCTGGAGGAGGGCCGGGGCTGGCAGCGAGTCGAGCCGAGCCGTGCGGGGATCCGTGCTAAAGCAGAGTAAAGGGGGTGGGGACTGTCCCTGTAGGAAGTGAGTGTTGTAACATTTCAGTAATGTGGCTGAGAGAGAGAGAGGATCTGATCATCGTGTCTGTCAAGGCTGGAGCTGCACCGAGGACACGCTAGGGGCGCCAGAGACACTTTAACCCGGGTTAAATCAGAGAACACTATAAAGAGTTATCTTCACTGGTTCTGAAACATGGATGTATTATTCTGAACCAGTTTGGAAAAGATGGAGGGGATACAGTTATCTCCCTTTCTTCTTTCAGTGTCTTCCTTTCGTCCTTCTTTTCTCCCCCTCCATTCATTCACTTCTCCTTTCCTCACTCTTCCTTCATCCCTGCATTCATTCCTCTCTTCCTAACTTTCTTCCTCCCTTCTTTCCTGCCTTCCTTCCTCCCTCCCTCCCTCATTCATTCATTCATTCCTCCCTTCCTTCATGAATTTCCTCCTTTCTGTCCCTCCATTAATTTGCTCCTCTCTTCATCCCTCTTTTCCATCATCTCTCACTTCCTCCCTCTATTCATTCCTCCCTTCCTTGGTCATTTATCAATTCCTTCCTTCCTCCCTCCTTCCATTACCGGACATTTTTGTGACAAGTCATCCTCAGGTTGTGAAAACACTTGAGGGCTCAGTTTAAACAGATGTATGGCCTGTGGCTCTCAGTCACCTCTCCCTCTCATAGATCTCCTCAGAAACACCTTTGGCTGAAATAAAAATGAATGCTCAGCGTGGTTAAACCTGCCCCTGACATTTTTCTTTTCAACAGGGACAACATGTGATTCTTGACTAGAGAGCAAAAAGGCACTGCAGTCCAAATTTAGAAAAAAATATGCTATCAATACGGACGTTGTGCCGTGCCTCCAAAGAGTGTCCCAGTAGTATTTACACAAGCATTTATTCATTGCTGCCCCTGCTCGGTGGTCTGAAGAGCGACTCAGCATGTGTATGTTACCTACAGTAGTGTTAGAGCATGGATGGATGGCAGTCAGGCTGAAGTTGGAGAGGGGGGATTGAGAAGCAGAGAAACAGATGTGCACATTTAGCAGAAGCTGAAAGAGGGTTTTATCTCTTGCCCTCTGCCTGGCATGTCCTGAATAACTTGTTACAAGGGTCTCAAATGTCCCCTGAAGAGAGATACATTTGGCTCTCATGAACTCCTCCAGAAATAGAGAGGCAACATCTTAAGTGAAATGTAGTGCTTGTAAAAAGTTCCATTAATATGCTTGTATTTCATTATCATCTTTCATGGTATTATAAAGTATAATCATAAGCAATCATTCAGCTTTGTCTGCCAGACTCTGCTGGCGAATGAGATACATGTAAAATATAAAGGATATTAACATAAATATCATGAAACTTCCCCTGTTGATTTATTACATTAGCAGAGCTCACACACATTCACACAGTATTTGATTTATCGTTTTTTGTGAATTACAATTAAATGACGCTCAAAGTGCTTTGATGTCGCACATGGTTTTCATTGTATCTTGTCTTCAACCTTTTTTGCCATTATGTATAGCAGTTTAATTTAAACAATATAATAGGATTTGATTATTTATGTCCATATTAACATATTCAAAACTTAGAAAAATGAATTTCTTACACATCTGATTATATTGTAAAACGTGATTAGACCATATTTTACTTTGTATTATTAAAGTTATTTTAATTTAAATGATCTTACATTAGTATGTTTCTTGGTTTTGCACGACCTAAAACACAAGCTCCCATTTTCTGGAGAAACAGGTAAAGGAGAGTGAGAGGTCAAGTAAAGACCCGTTCAGTCTTCAAAGGTCTTTTTAAAGGAACAAACGAGGAGAGACGAGTCAGAACAAAACAAAAACGTCAAACACTTCTGAGAGCTGGGAAGGTGCATTTAAGCCATTTCCTGTCTGAACAGTTAGAGCCTCATTTGAAGCTTTTACTGAGGCAAAAAGGCTCTTTGAAGAAACAAGGTTTTAAAAACTGTTTTCCATTTTCTTGATTTGACACTGCTATTCTGTCAAATTAACATTTTTCAATTTCCACAAACCCTAAAGTGCAGTCACAGTGGCTAAGAGTACATTTTATTCATTTTTATACCAAATGATATTTATCCGATAGCAACATCTGAGTGACTGTCAAGATAAATATGCAGACTTCTTTATCTTATCTTTAGTACCGTCAGTACATCAAAGCCCCTCATCTTTATTAAGAACAGAAGTAATGTCAATCTGTTAGGATTCTGATCCAGGGTATTTTGACAGCTTTGCATTAATGTTTAAAGGGCCCATGTCATGCTTTTCCGGTTATTACCCGTCCCCTTGTGTGTTATGTAGCTTTGTATGCATGTAAACGGTCTGCAGAGTCACAAACCCTCAAAGTACACCCTGTAGCGAGTAAAACTCTAACACAGAAAAGACCTGTCTATGCTGCCCCAGAATGCCTCGTTGGACATTTCTCTTTTTCCATTTGTTTCTTCCGGGAACCAAAATGGAGCTCCTCACACACCAGGACCTTTAGCGTAAATGTTCAACTAACAGGGAGTCCCATTGACTTGCAAAGAGCTCCCTGGTTGGTAATAGACGAGTTGGGATCGCGGAGAAATGCTCTCCGCAGACCCATTCTCACAGCGTTTATAAACCTTTTTCTTACTTATTAAGGTTTGTGTTCATTGTTTTTCAAATAAAATGTTCAGATTAAATCCAAAGCGTTACAGCCCGGCTAAATGTATGTATCTCTTAAAAAATGAAGCAAATACACAGACAGCATTGTTTTCAAAAGTATCTATTAAGTAATTAAGTTTCAGTAAAAAAACAGAACAGAAACAGGAATAATTCAAACACAAATGTATACGTTCTCTTCATTAATTCAATGAATGTGTAATCATTTGTCACTAAAAACCATCTTTCAATTTGAATCCAAACACGGCATTTAATCCATTATTTGTATTGACTCCATCAGAGTCTAGGTCCTCTTAGCAGTAATTCCATTGGACAAGCGAAAAAGAATACAATGAATTTATAATTGTTCTGATTTCTTCACAACTAACCTGGTAAACTCATTTTTTGCAGGCGAGTTGCTGGCTGCTTTCCTCTGTATCTGTTTATTGTATTGTGTTTATATGCAGAATTGAGTCTAATTTCTAAAGAAAAAACAAATCTACTTTCTTATTGACTACTATGTTTACACTCTGAATACATCGCATGGTATCCACAAGCTGTTTCCATTCTCAAGCATAAATTACAAATAAAAATAGCTTTTCCATTATTTATTCAATTCAATTCAATTGAAATCTGATCTGTGGTTGGGAATGCATGGTACAGATCACACAGTGTACTTCTCCTCCCCTTGCCTCTGAGCTTTGTGGTAGTGCGTGTAGCTGCCGTACAGCTCGTTGAAAACCTCTCTGACTCCCATCTGCAGCCCGGCCGTCAGAAACTTGATATCCCGCTCCATACACAGGTCCAGTATCCGATAGATCCCCTCCGTTAGATGCAGCTTTACGTCTGGACGCAGAGTAACCTGGAGAGGAAGATAAGAGGGAAGGAGAAAATATATGAATCTGAGGTCAAAACAATGTTCTTATCTATTTCATAAATCCTATCTTTGTTTCACCATCCATAGGCTTAGTTACATCAGGCAGCGATTATCCTTTCTGTGTCACATACTGCAATTTTCTGCTTCCAAATGTTCCGCATGCACTTAAAATAAAGATCACGTCTTTCTCTTTGTTAGTTGACTGGCAACATAATACTGTGCGGCTTCATACAGCCTGAGGCACACCTGCTGGTCACACATTATGTGTCACAATAGTTGAACATTCATCCCAGTCTCACATCCAGCTTCATAACCATGAGACTCACATTGAGTGACATCAAATGACAGAAAACATCATCTATCCTGGTTAATGTTAATGCAAATGTAAAGAGCAGGACTCCAAAGGGAGGGGAAGGATGATCAATTAATTACTCCTGTTTGGAAAAGACACATCAAATATTTAAAGAGCCAAATGGAGCTGTGCTAGATATAAGGAGATGGTCTATCAATCTGGATTCAAAGCCCACAGGGGCTTCAGAAGGACGGCTGATTTTAAGGAGGTATAAAATATCATAAGATTATTTTAATTTTTGTCAGCCTTCTGTAGATGTGTATTAACTCCATAGTAATCAGTTACTCTTCTGTTGCAACAGTTAGTCTCAACTAGGATTGCTGATGATATTTTTGACCTTAATATTGATTGTACTCAATTTTGAGATGTTGTAGGGCAGGGCTTCTCAAACTCCGGACCAAGGTCCGGATCCGGACCGAACTGCAAATCAATCCGGACCGAACCCTGTGTCCCATTATAAAAAAAAAATTCTGATTCTGATAAATTAATGTACATCATCATAGGGCTGTGCAATTAATCGTATTTTAATCGCAATTACAATTTTGGCCTGCCACAATTACGAAAACAACATAATCGAAAAAAACAATTATTTTGCTTTGCTAGGTTGTGACAGTGCACTGCAACATATTTGATCACATTTATTTGCATTTATCATATTTATATATGTTTAGTAGCTTGTGGAAGTGTGCTCCAAAATATTTGTTGATCTTGTTTATTGGTATTTATTATTTTGATAGTATTTATTTAAATGTATCATTTTATTTATTTTTGTATTGGTTTTTCAGTTGAATTATACGTTCAGGGTAATCAACAGTTAAAAAGATACTGTTCAAATTATTATTTGTATTTGTTTTAAAGTTCAATAAATGGATTTTTTCAAAGTCAATGAATAATCGTATTTAATAATCGTGATATCAATTATTGACCCAAATAATCGTGATTATGATTTTTGCCATAATCGCACAGCCCTACATCATCATGTACGTGCGTCTTGTGTCTGACGCGTTGTTATATTTACTTGTGTGCGCGAGCGTGACACGCATAGCAGACCGCAAGTTAACTGCAAGTTTACCTTGACATACTGTATGTATGTATTGAATGTGTGTGTGTATACAGGGGCGCCGTTTACCGACAGGCAAGGCAGGCAAGTGCTTGGACCAGAAGGGGGCCCCCAAAGAAGGTAGATTAAGAAGGTCCACAGCAACGACAACATGAAACACCCTTTAATTTACTGCAACGACATGTCGGGAAACTCCATGCATAGAGCGCCAAGAAACTGCTTCTTAATTTCAGTTTAGTTTCTCGGCTCGGGGGTGGGGGGGGGGGGGGGGGGGGGGGACTTTACTGGCATTGATCCGGACCAGTGACCTTGTATAAAGTTCGCAACTGGACCTTTAATAAAAAAGTTTGAGTACCCCTGTTGTAGGGTATGGTGCTTTGACTAAATATACAATTATTTCTTGATTATAACAAATACAATTAAATATTTAATATATAATTACGATGGAATATAATGAGTGGGTAAAGGCAAATACAGCGATAACAATGTTATAAGTTACAAGATTACATCATTTTATCTGAACACTGCCTCAAAGATATGTATCTAGAGTCATATCAGGGTATCGATATATTATTAATATGATTTTTCGGAGAACTGTCTATTGAACATCGTAAAAGATTTAAGAGGCACTAAATTATAAATACAATATTATGCTCTGTATCATAGAATGATCAACATACCGACATCGATATTTTATTTTTCTGAACGTCACCATTGCCAACTCAAGCATATGTTGCAGCCTGACCGTAAAAGTGGACCGCATCATTTCTAAACATGAGGATCTGAAAATCTTAATAGACACACTTCTCTTTCTACAACACACACACACACACACACACACACACCACACACACACACACACACACCCACACACACACACAACACACAACACACACACACACACACACACACAGCACCACAACACACACACACACACACACACACACACACACACACACACACACACACCACAAACACACACACACACACACACAACACACACACCACACACACACCACACACACACACACCACACACACAACACACACACCACACACACACACACACACCACACACCACACACACACACACACACACACACACACACACACACACACACACACACCACACACACACACACACACACACACACACACACACACACACACACACACCACACACACACACACACACACACACACACACACACACACACACACACACACACACACACACACACACACACACACACACACACACACACACACACACACACACACACACACACTTTGTGCTCAGTGATCCCTGCAGAATAAGCCAGGAGAAATTCATCCCGCTGTTACTTTATACCCCCACAGGTGTAGCCCCCCCGCAGGTGTAGCCGTAGCCCCCGCCCCCTCCCCCGCAGGTGTTGCACACGATGACCTGATGGCTTGTACAGTTGGCTGGACCTCAGTCCTCAGTCCTCTGACACCACTCATTATAAGATGACAGCAGCTCTGTGCTGCGGACTGTTAAATGATTAGATAAGACCTCGCTCACCTGATTACAGGCTCCCATTATGAAGAGGAGAACCGATCAAATGTCATGAGGAGCTGTAGTTGTCTGCCAAAATTACAATTAGTGCTTCGCTGGCTGTCCGAATACTTGGATCTGGATTCTGGGAAAACTCAATAGAACATAACGCTGCTAGACAAAGTTGTGTTTAGGTTAAGAAGTCCTAACAGCAATGATGAAGACAGCATAACATATACAAAAAGCAAGATATCTCTGTTTCTGTTTCTTGTGCATTGACTCTGATCCCGTATGAGTCCAACAATATAATAGGAGTACAATTCCAAACTAGTAGAGTACTCTTTTAATAGGATTTCTTAACCGTAAAATGGGCAATCTCATAAAAATATATGATTACACCCATATTACACATTAATACACCCCTATTAAACCATTATGACACCTGTTATTGCACCCATACAAGATCGTTATTAGGCCCATATTGAACCAATGTAGCGCCAATAGTACACCCCTATATTACCACATTAAAAAAGTTGTTCTAACTGCACTGCACTCAGGCCTAATAACACCTGGCTGCCACTCAGAAAGTTCAGCTGAGGCTAAAAGCCATTAGAAGCTATTCTGACAGAGACGGCTAAATTACCTATGATTTACAAAGAGGTCCATCTCTTTGAAAAGCCCCATTAGAAATCCAATATTTTGATTATTTGATGAGTCACCCAGAGCTCAAAGGATCCCAAACACCCCTTCATCACTCTGTCTGTCTGTCTGTCTGTCTGTCTGTCTGTCTGTATGTATGTCTGTATGTCTGTCTGTATGTCTGTATGTCTGTATGTCTGGATGGGTATTTTATTTTCCTTCTCTCCATGTGGAAACTGCTGAGTCAGATTGGCGTCATGTTAAATACAGTGTGTTGACAGAGAGGAGCCGCGTTCACAGGCTAGACGTTACTCACTGCTCCGTCCAGCTTTAAGCTTTTTTCCAGCACATTCACACAGATTTGAGCACATTCACATTCAGGCCAATGAAAATACTTCCCATCTCTGAATCTGAGCGACAGCCATGCTCAACTGAATCTGGCCAGCTCAACACACACCACCAGACAAACTGCTGGATCAAAGGATCAGATAAGATCCTGGTGACTGTGTGTGTGTCGGTGTGTGTGTGTGTTTTTGTGTATTTGTGTGTGTTTGTAACCCACAGCTGTGGAAAATCAGTGGGGATGACAGCTGGGTTTGGATGAGGAATCGTGTTGACTCTGTATGATACTATGACTTCTGAGTGTGAGTGTGTGTGTGTGTGTGTGTGTGTGTGTGTGTGTGTGTGTGTGTGAGTGTGTACCTTCTGCAGGTCTGTGACGTACTGAGCCACCATGAAGGCCGACAGTGTGGTGAAGCTCTCGGCTGTAGCAGCAATGTGAGAGTACATCCTCTCTATTAATCTGGAGCACTGGAGATACACGTCACCGTCTGGAAATTAAGAAAAACAACAAAGATCAATGTTAAATTATAAAAGAGTTTACATGTGATAAAAAAAATCCTATTGAGATATCATCTATCAATATAGTTTGGATTTATTGCTGAGAGAAGTGAGAAAATTGGCACACTTCTACTGTACCTTTTGAGCTTAAATTGATCCTACCCTTATAAACAATGTTGCTATACAACTGTTTAAAAACACATTAAGGATTAAATGTTTGTATTTCTTAAACATTGAATTTAAGCGATGTGGTAGAGCAGCACAGAATAAAACAAACAGAAAACCTCTCTAACTTGGTAAAAGAGCAGACTGATTGGCTGGTACACAATCATTCATGTGTTGAGGAGGTAGAGATGTATGCAACAGATGTCTGCAGTCTACAATGGATTTAGAAAAGTGTATCAACATTTGTCTTTTCTGGAGGGCTACTGATGTTGAGGGAAAATCAAAAACTGCCAAGTGTGTGTGTTTGGGCATGACAAATACCAGATCCAGTAACAGGAGAACGCTGGAAAGATATATTTCTGTCTTGCTTATAATGTATTAAAGTGGCCCTATAATGCTTTTGGGGGTTTCCCTTTCCTGTAGTGTGTAACATAGGTTTTAATGCATGTAAATGGTCTGAAAAGGCTAAAATCCCCAAATTCCCTACAGAGGGAGTTTCTCTCCCACACACCCCCCCCTCCCCCCTGCCCGGAACACATCCATTGGACTCTTTTGTTTACTTATATTACATTAAAGCGTGCAAACATGTCACAATAGAGGCACAAAATACAAATATGAACATTTTGCAGATGATGTCGTCTTTAACAATCTTTTTTGCATGTGTGGAACATCAGGGTTTCAGGACTGTTATAAACTTCTCTTATTACTCTCTCTAAGAGAAAACTCAACTCCTATGCTTTTCAAAGTAGGTAAATTAAACAGTTATTTGCACAGAAAAGTGGAGTGCTTTTTCCCAAAGCCAGTATTTACCTCCACATTATGTATGGTAATATAACAGGTCCTTTGGTTAGAGTGGTTGTACGTTACCTGTGTCACTGTCCCCTCGCTGCCGTCCCTCCTGCATGATGGATGCCACCAGACGATAGAAGACATTCAAGAAGGACGGAGCGGCATTCAGCATCACCTGGACACACGAGACGTTCACAGTCATAAAACGTCATTTGTTTTGTAGCAGAATTGTGTAGACTTAACCTATATTATAGGCATGGACACTCAAGGTGTTGTTTAGATCTGCTATGTTGGTTTTTCCACAGCCACAAAGAGTGGAGGACAAGCAAACCACCGAAGCACTTTGGTTGCTGAATGGTTACAGTGCATGCCATATAATCTTGGTTCAGTTTCAGGACCTGTGCTTCATGACGTATCCCTCTACTCCCTCCCCCCAAATAATCTAACCATTGTTTATGTTGGAAAACCTCTATTTTCAATGATGCGGTGGGATGGTACATATATTCTTGAGGTTTATCCAACTGACTTAACAGTTTATGACACAGACTTTTACTTGAATCCAAGACCAACTGTCCATCCTCCATATTTTAAATACTGTAGCTCCCGAGTGCTTTACACATTTAAAAAATTCTAGTGGAGTTTGATTGTTCAACATGAACACCAAATATGTAGGCCAGATAACACAGAACTATGTAGACAATTATCCACAAACAATGAAGAACATTTTTTCACTTAATGTATTAGAAAAAGCTCCCCAAAAAAGAAGAATTGAAGAATAGATCAGACACAAGTGATATTGCCAGAGTTTGATAAAATCTTTCTTTATTGTGTACATTCTAAGAAGATTTATGGGAAGATTAAAAAGGGGGAAATTAGGATGTTAGAAGTTAACCAGAGAAACCTTTTATTTTATTTTGACAGAACTGTCCTGCAATATCTGTCCATCACATCGTTTTCACTAATTAAGTCGTAACAGAGCAGCTATAAAGCTACACTCCAAAAATGACAGAAGTAAAATGGATTTCCATTAAAGCTACGTTTGCATTTTCCGTCCACACCTCTCTCTTTGTTCCCTTTTCACGGCCTGAAGTGGACCGAGGAGGGATGAAGAGAGAGAATATAAACGAGCAGCAGATGATGTCAGCAGCTCTAATTGGGGCTTAGTAATGGTTTCCATCAACTTATACCTGCTCCATGCCAACCACCACTGCATGCCAGCTCCCCTACCTCCCCCTCCCCCTCTCCTCCCCCATTACACCTCTTTTCTCCAGCTCGCTCCCTTCTTTTATACTTTTTCCTGAAACTTCCCTCGTGCATCGCATTCAAATCTCAAGTCCTTTGTTCTCTGCCTCTTCTCTCAGCTCTTATTTCATTTCTACCCTGTTCTTTTGTTCTTGCCTCCACTCTCCTCTCAGTTTTATTTCCCCCCCCCCTTTACCTCCCTCCTACCCCTCCTTCCCCGCTGTATTTTACCATAACAAACATCTGATATCAGTTAGCTGGTTCTTTCCTTGTTTGATTCAAAGCAGCTGCACCATTTCAGTTGTACCTTGTCACTTTTTTTCAACAAATAAAATAGTCAACATTTCGGGAAGTGTACAACAATGAAATTATCACATTAACACCACCACAACAAAAATGCAAACGGTTGTCTGTGGGCTGGAATGTGGACTACAATTTGAATGTTTTATATTTGTAGTAAAAATGTCCCTCTCTTGGGGAAATGTATTTTTTTATTCTTAGGGTGCAAGCAGTTCCAGTAAAAGCTGAGAATTTGGATGTTTGTGGTTTGGTGCGGCTGCAGCATGACTCTGGTAGCTGCAATATCCTTTCTTTAAAAAGACACATTCCTCTGGGGCATCCTGGGTTGCAGAGTTTAAAACACATACCGCATGTTCTTTAAATAAGGTATTCAAACCAGCAGCCTTGAGCTGTAATGACCTTATTACATAAAGGTTAGGTTTGGTTTCTATAAAGGCCACAATAGGGTAAGTGCCTGATAAATGTTTCATTTTTAACATCACAAAGAGCAGAGGAAAGTCTTATCCTGCATGTTCTTTGATTGATTGAGACAAAATCACAGAGGAAAGAGCCAACCTTCAATGATACAAATGGAAATGGGTTGGATATAATACTAGGACCACCTAGAAAAACCATCAAGTTAAATCAACACTTTTGTAAAACAGTTTCAAGAAACACTCAACAATATAACCTTCTAGCAGGTAGGATTTATCACAGTATCGATTGTTTTACGCTGCATTAGTTTTAGCAAAGTGTCCGTAATGAACCAGCGATTCAGTTTATATGAACCATAATTCAAATCTTCTGGGAAAATCTAATACACTTATTGGCCTATTTTATGTTTTTGTCTCACTCACACATTTCTGCTGCACTTGTTGGTGGCTGTGTGTAAGGTTACACCACATGCATTAATAACTGCATTTTTAACATTATCACATCTTGTTGCAGAGGCAAAGTTAAACCCTAGATTCCAATGTAATCCCTTATTAAATCTACGCCTATAAACCTTTGACAGTGTTTTCATACACAAGACGTTTCTTTAAATCATCTTCAAGTTAGCTTCCTCCTTCCATTCACCCTCTTCTTACCTGTGGATGACGCTGGATGATGGCAAACAGCGCCTCATGAATGGCCAGAAACACAGAGTGGTAGACGGGCGGGGTCAGGTGGTCGAGGGGCACCGACTGCAGCGCCCCGAGAATGAGGAGGACATGATGAGGGTTGGTGAGGAGCCCCTCGCCCTGACGCAGCAGTGATGTCATGGACGTCACCGTGGGAACCGTGAAAGGAACGGTCAGAGAGATGTCCTGCGTGGACGATTTTACCAAAAACTGTGACAACAGGGATAAGCACACAGAAGAAGAGTTAGAGGAAGAATATGCAAGCAGGTCATGAATACTTTTATGTGAAGATTAACCTGTTCAATAAAATTGCAGTTCATGATATAATTGATATAGTCCTCAAAATACGGTAAGGGATGATTAAACTGGCATATTAAAAACAGCAACACAGTGTGAATCATGATACTTTCAGTATTATTTTAAATCAGGGTCTCTTGACATATCTGCCATGATAGTAAGCTAGAAAGAATTGTCATGTCTTGAGTGCATATTAGTGGAAATTCACCATCCAGTTATTGAAGTTATATATATTGAGGATATCAACCCATCCCTAGTTGCAAATTAAAAAAGGCACATACATTTGACATTTCAGGGACAAGTTTTAAATAACCTTTTACAGCTCTCTAAAAGTATTTGTTAGAAAATTCAATATGAAAATCAAGATCCTGGCAACAGCAGCAGGCCTTTTCGACAGCAGGAAATCTTGCTTCATCATAGCAGGAAGAGCACAGGTGTTACTAATAACAAACAATGGCTCTGTTCATTTTAGGGATCTTAAACCGAAGCAGCTCAAATTCAGCCATAATTTATTTGATTATCTCCATCTGTGCCGTTTCTGCTGTGACAAGTCAACATGTCCTCCGTGAAAAATGCCTATTATGTTACCATAAAACGTATTTTGGATGTTACCCTTTTTTGCCCAATTGCATTTTCACACAAGACATGCTGTTCAAGATCTGTGTGTTGCTCCCCAAAAAAAATAGGACTTTTTATATCTATTCTACTGCTATTAAAGATATTATTATTTTATTCGGGACAGCCCTTGTGTGTAACTGTGTGTACAGTATGTTTTAAGCAGATTGCTGTGTTGTCTGCTCCTCCCAGCAGCTCTGATGGAAACCACATTGACCTAAAACAGCCTTAGAGGAAATTACAGTGAACAGGCTTCTCCGACGGAAACCAGCAGACTGTGATTGTCATTTTGGCTGCTGAGTCACTCAAGACGTCTGTCACATGTGCTTCCAGTCTCTACAATGATTACTGATGTAAGGTCGAAGGAAAACATACTGCAAAATGCTCTCAGTGTCACTGTGCCCTGCTTGTGTTTCTGTATCTGGGCATGTTACACAGAGTTCCTTCTTTAAGATTTTCCTCTACGAATGTTAGAAATGCATACCTCTATCCAGCAAGTGCACTATGATATCAATTCAATCCATTTTCTCTGATTCACAAACATGTACTTATATACCGTTAACATAATGTTAAGGCCTCATGTCAGGCTTTCAGAAAACTGCAATCCTCAAGTACAATTGTCTTTTCATCCTGAAATACTGTTCACCACTCCTGAAGGTCATTTTCAACGACATTTAACAAAATGTTAATTATTCAGTACAAGGTCTGACATTTAGTTCAGACATTTAATGACTTTAGATTCAACCGAATGGCCAAAAACATACATTTAAACTTGGACATTAAAACTAATGACATATGACTTAACTTGGACCTGAGCCCTTTGACTTTACAAATACTTGATCCAGTCCACTAAGCCAAAAGATTAGAACGTATGTTTTTAAGAAACCTAATTAAATGCTTAGAAAGTGCAGCATAACTTTTTATAGAACTAGGTTTAGTCGCATTTTTAACACACTTTTTCTTTAACAAACAAAAACACATTTTAATATGCATTGATCATTTAATTATACTTTTACTCTGTTGTTATAATTGCAAATCAAAGTTTAGTACTTGATTTGAAAATTACTTGTGTGACTTGCAAAGCAATTACTTGGTCTCTCCCCTGCTGATACGACGAGCGTAATGCCAATTAAAAAATAAATGGATTAACCCAAACAACTCCTGATACTAACAACAAAATCCACAAATCTGTGTTTTCTTTCTATGAGTAACAAACAGGCCCACTGAGACAAATTATTTGATGTGTTAGCAGCATGGGACTTTTGTCTGGGTGTGTGTGTGTGTGTGTGTGTGTGTGTGTGTGTGTGTGTGTGTGTGTGTGTTTTTCTCACCACCATGGCAGATATAATCTGTGGTGCAATGAGCCACAGCGCTTTAGAGCAGGGCTCAGGTAACGGACAGCAGGAAAGCAGCTTAATGATGATCACTGCAGATAGCACCTCCTGGAGAACAGATACAGAGAGGGAGAAATCTGTTTTTATAAATAAAACTTGATTTGATTTGATTTGTTCATTTGATTTTCATTCAATGTGACAGCCTATATGATTCATTGTGGGGGAAAAACAAAGCAGAATCTCCCTCCCATCAAGTAAGAGAGATGTTCATATGACACATTGTAAAAACTGCACAGAAAAATAAATAAATAGACTCTATTCGTTAAAGGGATATCTAAATGTATGAAAGTGATCAGGGTTGACCCTCACCCTGTAGTTTCCTGCCCTCAGTTTGCCTGTGTCCAGCCCCTCTCTGATCAGCAGCAGCAGCAGGTTAAACCGACCTGTGGTGCTTTTCTCCAGCAGGTGGCGCAGCAGCTCCTGCACAGCCGGCTCCAGCTCACACACATCACTCGCAGAGAGCCAAGAAGCTGAATATCAGAAGTGAAAATGTGTCACAATCAGGATATTGAAAGTTTTGATTGACACTGTCAGAGTTCATTTACCAATGAGTGAAGTGAGCAGTCATGTTGCACAAACGGCAATATAAGTGTTTCTAATGTTTATCGTCTATATCAGCGGTTCCCAACCTGTGTGCCGCGGCCCCCCTAGTGGTCCGCAAAGGCATTGCAAGTGGGCCGCCAAATAATTTGCAAAACATTATGATTTGTGTGGAAACATTTCATTATTAAGATTTTTTTTTATTTGAACCTCTTTTCCTTTTTCTTTCTTGATCCTCCTTAGCAACCAGCTCCTTTTCTAATTAAAATCAAAAGTACTCCGAGAACTTTATTTAGCCTCCGTATTGTTTATGGTTGAATATGGGCCACAAAAAGTTTTTTGATTCTTAAGTGGGCCCTGAGTTGAAAAAGGTTGGGAACCACTGGTCTATATAATTAAGCATGTTGATTAATGATGCCACATTTTTAGACATATTGCTTTTTATAACAATGACTTTCCTTTTACTGCTTTTTTTTATATTATGTCTCCTTTAAAGAAACTACACATGTATCAAAATGGACATCTGGAACATGAGGTTATATAAATGTAATTTATGGCGCTGTTAAATTGCTGCTTTTTTAAGACATGATACATAGAATTATCTCAATTAGATCAGTTGTAAACTTGTGTCAATATGTACAATATGCAGAGGAGCTTAATGAAAGACAAACACTGGCTGATTGCACATGTGAAGGATATTGTTTGCTTCACGTACCTGTCAGCAGTCTGTGCACATTCTGCAGTATCTGCATGTACAGCTCGTCCAACTCCTTCCCTTCCTTCTTCTCCTCTCCTTCCTTCTCCTCCCCCCTCTCTCCTCTGGTCTTCTCCACTGCTTTGTAGAAAGTGGACAGGAAATGGAGAGAAGAAACAAGGAAGTCCAACGGCCTGTGGGCACAACTGATTTCTTTGAGGATCTGCTGGCAGCAGCCCTGATAGAGAGCCATGTGTCTCATTTGTTTCTGCTTGTTCTCGTCCTCCACTGACAGTGAGGACAGCTCGCAGTGCAGCATGACCGTCACGACTTCTACGACAAAGGCCTGGCCGAGGACGCTGGCCGGTTGGATGGGTGACTCGCTGACAGTTTGGGGTTTTAGGATGGACTCAACAGCCGGTCCTAATGAAGCGGTCGTTCTTGTGAGCATCTGAGTAAGAGTTTGATCCATTTTTTTACTCTTCCCCAAGTTAGAGGTCATTGCCTGGGAGAAGGAGGTCAGCGATGCCAGCAGGAGATGAACAGACAAAATGGACGCTCCTGGTTTACCTGACACAGCTGTTGAACTGGGGGCAACTATTTTCATGTTTGACATCTCCTCACTGGTAAGATATGAGGCAAACTGGTCTAGGTTGAGTCGAACACTGCTGTTTCTGATTATAATCAACTGGACTAAGGCCCTGATGAAGCCCTGTGCTTCTTTGATTAAATCCAACCAATCAGAGCTGCTTGTGACTCCGAATGCTCCATTGTTGCTGCGCCAGAGGAGAGAGGAAACAGAAGCCTGCAGCAGAGTCCCACCGTGGATGAGCTTCAAAACACTTGGGAAGTTTCTACCCTCCAGGAAACAGGTGAGAATCCTGAGCAGCTTCACCAGGAAGAGAGCTTCATCTCCAGATTCAGGAGGCTCCACGGCTTTCTGACTGGAGGTGGAGGTGAGCATGAAGAAGAGCAGGAGGAAAACAGAGGAGATATCCTCAGAGTTCATCCCATCTGGGTTTAGATTGGTTAAGATTTGGAGTAAGTCTACCAGCTCCTTGCTTTGTGTGTCAGTCAGCAACACAGACACCTCTCCAGCCTTTGAGGATGCCAATATATCCTCAACTATAGTCTCTTTATTCACAAGTGTGGACAGAGGCAGTCTCTCACAAGCTCCAGTTCCTTTCTCCTGAATCTTCAACAGTGTAGGACAAACCTTGGGTATATGAGCTGCCTTGAGAACACTAACAATCCTGTCTGAAAGGGAACAAACTGTAGCAGAGAACAGGGAAGGCAACTCGGCAAGAACGGGGCTTTGGACAAGTTGTGATGATACAAGAGACACGCTGAGAGAGCCGGGGGGACAGCCTTTTCCTCCGTTGGTTTGTCTGCTGAGGAGTGAACCAACAAGCATATCAGCCACACAACCCACATCTTCTCCGGTCAGGTAAGGAGCAATCAGAGGCAAGTTGGATGTGATAAGATACCAGTGAGCTGCGAGGTAAGAGCTGGAGGTCACACTCGCTATCTGCCCGTCCCATACCTGCTCTCCATCCAGACTCAACTCTAACTCTGATTTAGCTAAAATAAACTGTGCCGCGCTGTTTAGAAGAGCTGCTGTGTTGGGTTCAGAGAGTAAGGGGGTATCTAAGAGAACTTTTTTCATCTGTTGCAAAGTGAGGAGTTTGAGCAGCAGACGGCTCAAGGGGCTGCAGGACGGCTGCAGATGAGACGGAACAATCTCACTAGAGAGGAGACTTCCTATCTGTGTTAGGACTGGAGCACGGTCTTCAGTCTCGCTTGCAGCGGCTGTCAGCGCTGTGTATTTGCTGCAGTGGATATCAAACAGCGTGTCGACCTCCACCAAGGTGTATCGGAGAAGCAGAGTGGCATCAAGGGTCTTCTGTTCCCACAGTGCTCCCATGTTATACTCCGACATCTGCTCCAAATTATTTTTGCGTTTCCGTGGGGTACTTTGAACTGAACTTGTTTTTACAGCTTTTTCTTCTGTTGACAACAGATTCAGTAGCTCCTTGACAACCTGTTGCATCTCCACAATCAAAGCCTTACTCTGCCTGACTGTGGGAAGAGGAGAGGCATTGTCTAGAGTCTTCAGACTAAACAAAACGACATGTAGCAGCTGACTGAGGGAGAACAGCTTCTGAGATGCATCTTTTCTACTCTGATCTTTGTTTGCTCCATTGTCATCTACTTCACCATCAATCTCCATCTTCTCTGCCTCTCTTTCCTCCTGCACCATGTCAGGTAGTATGTATGTCCTGATGCTCTCCAACACTAATGAGCAGATCTCTAGCCCCTGGGAAGAAGGAGTGTCCAGCAGACAAGCCCTGAGCGAGGCGGAGGCGCCCTCAGAGAGCAGAGGAGGTCGGAGGTTGTCTGATGCTGGCTGACAGATCACAGTCAAGAGCTCGGAGAAGAAGCGAGGCAGCTGACGGAGCTTAGTGTAAGTCTGGAGGAGACTGCACACCAGGAGCTGTTGGGAAACAAACATTTGGTCTCAGTCAAAACTAATCTCTCACACATTTGTAATCCTGCATTCGCAAGTTGAGTTTTCTTTTCTGAAATACAGAGATCATTTAGGATTAAATGTAAAAACCTGTCTGGCCCGTTGCACTCGTGCTTCCATGCATTCAGAGTCAACCCAGGCTGAAGATAACAGCTGGTCCAGGTCTGGTTCAATAATCAGATGGTTGAGACTCAACAGCGCTTTTAAACAGCGGTACCATGCCGGGATGCTGAAGGATAAAAGGAAAAGATAACAACAATTTAACAAAGAAAAAGGTTACACTTCAAAGGTTTTTTTTGACTTTTTGAATAAAGCTTGGCTTAATGTTTGTCGTCTATAAATGAGGTTTTTTTAAATATAAATGATGGTGCAGTTAAATTGCTGTTTTTTTAAAGGGTCCTGCTAATACAGGAGTGTGCCTTGATTTGCTTGCAGGCCAAAAGGAGAGCAAACTGTTGTTCAAATATCTACAGTCTTTCTCCAGAATCACACCCCGTTTCTCAATGTCGAGTAAACCTGCTGCAGAGCCACTATTTCAAGTATACTACGTCATCGAGTGGCACCGAAGGTATACTCGACATTGAGAAACGGCCACAGACTCCACCTTTAACTGAATACATCAAGGAGTTTTGGTTTACCTTGGCTGGGCGTGGTTGAAGAGCATTTGTCCCAGAGCTCTGTAAAACTTGAGTTGGACCTCTGCATGTCTGATCCGGTCTGCTGCTACATTGTAAATATCAGCTGACAGAGTCTGGTTCAGCAGGGACTCCACCGCCAGCAGACACAGGCTCCAGCTCTCTGGGGGACAGGGGGAGGATGGGGGAGACTTCTGCCCCGGGGTAACAGGAACTGGCTGGTCTGCTTTGGCAGGGGAGTTTTCATCGAGATGCATATCCAAGGTTGGGACCAATCTGGTGAGGAAATAAAAACACAGCATCCTGTGTGTTTCCTCACTTTCTCCTCTCCCTTTTCCGTAGCTTTCCACAAAGAACTTAAACAGCAGAGACATTGTGTTGGACTTCACAGTGTAGTGGAGGGCCGGCTCACAGTATCCTGGAGCACTCAGTTTGGAGAGTATTGCACTGACTGGCTTTAAGGGGCCTTTTGCGCCTCCAGGACCACCTTTTGCGCCTCCAGGACCGCCTTTTGCGCCTCCAGGACCGCGTTTCCCAGACTCTTCTTTAGATGGAAGGAGCTCGTCCTTGTAGGCGGCCAGGTGCTCAGAGGGGAACAGAGCTAACTGGAGAATGGAGTCAATCTTGATGCGGACGTCTCTGGACAGCTGCTGACGGAGGCGCAGGTGTGTGTGAGCAGCAGCAAATTCCCCAGAGGTCAGCAGGTGTCGGAGTAATACTAAAGGTTGGATCAGCTGGTTGGTTACCATGGTAGAGACTCTGTTGGGATTGGCTTGTTGTCGCTGGACAGACAAATAACATGACAGCACTTGAAGCAAGACATCAAACAAATTAGCTGAGCGGACATTTTCCTTTGGCTTGGCAGGGGGTTTATTAGCGTCTAACTCAGGCTCACCAGGAGGATTTTCAGTTATCGGATCAATTTGGGAATGGTCCAAATCGATTTGATGACTCTCAGTCATCACTTCATCCCCACATTTGACAGATTCTGTCACTAAGGGCTGTGTGAGCAATGGCTGTTGAAGCTCACAGCAGGCCAGAGAGCAGAGCTTAGCCAGGAGATCAACTATGAGTTCATACTTTGTGGTGAAGACAGACGAGAGCACAGGGGAAGAGAGGAGGCCCTGACACACACTGAGGATGGTGGACACACACACCGGAGACTTAGAGCCAACACGTGCATATTCCTGGAGACGGTCAAGCAGCAGCTAGAGATAAAAAGAAAAAAGGGTTGTCAGTAACATCCTCATGTTTCAATCTCAACACACCATGTTTGTAGAGTAGGAATGCTCTGCAGCCAAAGCATCTAATCGTATGTACGAGTTTCACATCAGAGTAATTTTTTGAAGGTGAGGCAAAAAGGGTGTACATGTGTGCTGGTGTTCTTATGAAAGTATCTGCAGCACACCTGTGCCATGTTGAGCCTCAGGCTGACGGTCTTGCCCTGCTTCAGAAGAGAGTGGAGCTTCTTGCTGTGAATAAGATCGTCAAGGTAACACCACAGTCCTTCAAGAACATCCTCAGAAAACTCCACCTTCTGATTGTACCGGCCCGTTAGAGCGTGGGTGCACCAATCCAACAGCACCTATATGTGAAGGGGGTCGAGACAGAGCACATGGTGGACATGTATATGATGCTTTCAAATCATTTAAAACAGACAATATGTATTACTCATGTATATCTGAAATGACACAGAGATTATTTATCATAAACGTGTCCAATTAATGAATGGAAATAGAAAATATAGCACTGTACAATACCTTAAGGGTACATTTGGTCGAAAACCATGCACTAATGGCGCATTTCCACTACACGGCCTCGCTCGGTATGGCTAGGCCTAGTTAGGCCTTGTTAGGCCTTGTTAGGACTGGCTCACTTTATGGCGCATTTCCATTACAGTTTAGGAACTGGGGTAGTATCTATAGTAACGCAGTGTAGGCGGAGCCGTGACGTCATCTTCAATGAGAACCCCAGAAAAACAACATCAGCTGTTAGCTGTTAGCACTCAAGCTCACAGCTCCTCATATCTGTTCAGAAACTAGACAAAAGTTAAACAAGTACAAACCACAGACTGTCTGTGTCATGGCGAGTACAGTCGCTGGTTTATTTATGTCTGTCTAGGCCGTTGTTGTGAGTGTGGACAGTCGGAGGAGATACTGCGTTAGCTTAGCCGATCTCCATTCAGAAAACACGCATTTTAAAAGGTTTTTCGCCTGCCGTCTGTCTGCAGACTTGTCAAAGCATTAATTCATGGTTTTTACTAACCGGTATCAGTATGTTGTTACTTCGGCATCATTTTGAAACGTGTATTACAATTAAATCACGGTCAAATATGTTCATCTTGTTGTAGTTGTAGCCCCCTTGCCAGCGATTCTCTCTCTAGTTTAGCATACTCAGCCCGACTCAGCCTGGTTGTTGGCCCGGAAAGAACCTCGATTTTATGGGGCCAGAAAAACTGTGAAATAGTACCCGCTAGCTGGTACTACGCTAAGTGGAAACGCAACCAAAAACGGGCCCCGCACGGCTCGGCACGCTTAAAGCGAGCTCTGCGCTGTAGTGGAAATGCGCCATAAGATTCATGCCAAAGTCTTAAAAGTACCTCCAAAAGCAATCCAAAAGAAAAAGAGACTACAGCACTGCTAAAATTAATACATTTCAAAAAAGGCTTTATTGGAATAAAGGTGTACCGTAGGACACATATAATCTGCAGATAATGTAAATAACATAATTAACAAAACGATTTGCTGCTATTTAAGTGTAGACAATTGGTACCGGTCTTTATTGATTATACTGTACATTATGGGTTTTGTCTCAGATAATAAACTACAGTAGGCACTTCTCACAGTAAACACAGAACATCTAAAAAACAACAGCAATCATTGTCATTCTGTGAAGACACAAACACCTGTAATATAACTTAACAGTGGTTACCTGTTCCTTGTTGGGGAGCAGGCACTGAGTGGAGATCCAGGCAAAACGTGCCAGCTTTAACTTGTCCTCCCAGAGAGTATGAGGACTCTTCAGTTTCAGATGGATACCTGAGTAGATGGCCGCCATCTCTGCAGATGGTGCTACTGCTGCACAGGTCTGAAGAGAGGAGAGGGAGAAGAGGAGTTTTAGAAGTCTTATTCTTTGGGGAAATTCACATGCTACCCAGGATATAAAGTAAATAGTTAATATATGAGCCCTACTACCTTTACAATTTCATTTCATTTCAAACCTTTATTTATCCAGATTGGTCCCACTGAGATCATACATCTATTTTTCAAGGGAGACCTGCAATATGCATAACTAAGTGAAATATATGCATCAATCATTACAATTCAATAACATAATAAACCTAAATCTGAAATGGGCCTTTCTGTATAAGTTCCGCATTTAATGTATTTATTTGGTATTTATTAAGAAGCATATGTGGGTGTTAATACGTTTGTACTTTTCTTTAAGTAAACATTGCAGCGTTTTTAATTACTTTTATTTAAGTAAAAGATCGAAGTACTTCCTCCACCACTCTCTAGCAGTGATACACAACTTGGGTAAGAGACAAGAGAAGAGTGTATGAAATCTATTATAATAAGACCATGGAAACCGGTGTTTTAAACATAAAATAAAAAAACACCTTAAACTGATGGCAAATACAACTTCAGCCAGGTAAGCATACACAGACACACATTTTCAACAATATATCGTTGAGAGTTAAACGCAAAGGCAAATATGTGTCATTTCATCAGATAGCATAATGAAAACAAGTTTTAACACCGACATGCGTGGTTATAGCTAAGACATCTGACGTTAGCCTCTTCCTGCTAAAGTCAAAGTAAGCTACTGGAGCTGCTTCTCGTCAACAAGCGCGCAAACAATCAACGAGCTTTAATTAAACATTGTTTAAGGATAGTTAAATGCATTTGTGGTGACTGAGTTTATCAGACTTACGACTTTTCAACTCGCACGTGTCTCCTGTTTTCAGATGTAGACGAACTTTCAACTTTCACCCTGCAGGCTAGGCACGAGCAATCGATAGACGATTTAAAGAGGCAGTGTTAAAAAGTAATTGTTCAAGAATGAAAAGTAGATTAAATGTGACTCCCTTTTCTTTTTATAATTAATTAAGTCACGTCTTTTATTTGTTATTTGTTTCTTTCTTATTGTTTTCCACAGTACCATTTACTTCACACTGGAAGAAGATGAACTACAGACAAGTTACCCAAGCGAGAGATGTGTAGTTTGATCAACTAAAGCTACTGAGAAAAAGTAATCCAAACAACGAAAAATACATATAAAAAAGGTTTAAAATAGTAATTTCACTACATAAATGTCAATATATCATTATTAATTCTGTATATTTATATTGTGTATTCAATAGATAAAATGTATAAGTATCATTCACTATATATATCTATATATTTTCTGTTTTGTTTATTTTCTACTGTTTTGATATATTTGTATCTACATGCTGCTGTGACAAAATAAATTCCCAAATTGGGATCAATAACTATACATATCAATATCTAATCTAATTTATTTTATTAGATTAATATTAATGTAACTACTTCCCCGGGCGCTGTACAATAGCTGCCCACTGCTCCTAGTACTAGACTCCTGGTACTAGGATGGGTTAAAAGCAGAGGCCAAATTTCACTGTGTGTGCTGTGTGCTCTGCATGTGTGACCATTAAAGAGGGTTTCATCCCTCCCAATTCTAATTCAATTCTAACACTCGTGCAACATGGAGTTAAACTCCTTAAACTGCTTCTAAATTATAGAAAAATAACCACCGAATGTTTACTATAAACAAGTGTGTCTGTAGTTTTCTCTCTGGCATGATTGAATGCATGTTTTGCTGTATTTCTATTGTAAAAATGTGTGAGTAGGTGGAATTTGCTCAACCAAGTAAAAAAAGAGAAGTTCCCTAAACACTAGGCATTGGTGATCTGTGCTCGCTTGGTTATGCCTGGGAAAGTTTGCTTGTATCGTCAGCCATTGAATTCAACCGTCGGTCGAGGAGGAGGAATCGTGAATACATGAAAACCAAACCAGGGTCACCTTTCTGGTGTTTACCCATTTAGACTCTTTCTAGGAAAACAAGCTGCATTTCTCAGAGTGGATGTGGTGCTAGTCGTTCTTTGGTAGCTTCTGTTTCCACTTGGCCCGCCTGCCAAGCTACATATTGAGCGACATATGAGAGTGACAGCAGGGTGTTGTTAGCTGCTCGGTGATAATAAGAGATAACCCGGGGCTGTCAGGCGCAGATAAAACGGACAATAACGGTTAACACTCGAGAATGTAGCGGGGAGAGGCGCTACAACTGATCACTATGGATACGGTGCGTTGACCTACCGACTTGGGGACTAAACATGCTTCTACAAGTGGACTTACTCAACAACAAACACCTGGACTCCATTTATCACTAACTAGGAAAATACTTGTCTTTATTTTGTTTGAGCTTGTATCAACAGTTAAACTCGGACGATGCGGCTTTTAAATCGCATGTCAAGGTGCTCTCATGGAGTATCCAAATTCAAGCTAACACAGCCGAGGATGTTGTGGCTGGATCACCGGCTAACTCTCTCAGCCGCCCCCCGGAGGAAGAGGCAGTTTACCGGGGTCAAGTCCTCAGCCCACCCGGCCTTCCCTCTCTGCTCCCCAGGGCTCTTCGTGTCCGTCCTGCCCTGCAGTCCCCTCAGAGGTCTCTCCATTCTCTGTCCACACACACGGACAGTCACACACACACATGTTGCCTTTGCCAGCTCTTCGGCCGCTTCCACACCGACACCAGCCGGACAAGTGAAGACCCAGGCGGACACAGAGGACGAACAGACCCCCACCACGGTCCCTCTGGAGGATGTGAAAAGGATTTTGAAACTAGCTCACCCGGAGAGATGGAAACTGGCAGGTCGGTATATACTGAGAATCCACTTATACTTACCTGTAAAACTAGCACTACCACACTGTTGAAATACTCAGTTACAAGCAGTGCTGGAATGTCATAAAGTACATTTACTCAAGTACTGTACTTAATGTTAACAGTTTTAAAATGTTAACAATGGTTAAGAATAAGTGGAGAGTGTCTGCACATTTGGTTCAAACTAAACTTTTAGTATTTTACTAAAAAATCTATTCACTGTTGTCAGTCCAATACAGATTTTGGAGCTTAAATCCAGTGTGAATACACAGTGAAACTCTTCAGTGTTTCCATTCTTGTATTTGTTATCTGGATGTGCCTCGCCTAAATATAGGAGGGAATGTGTGCAAGGCTACATTTTTTAAACATCATTTTATATGACCATGCAGGAGAAAGATTTGTTTTTAATCCGCACAGGAATAACTAATTATCTCTTCTTGTTCCATCTGGTTTTGCATACAAATATTGTTGTTGTTTTCATATTTTTAAGGAAATGTAAAAACCAAAGCAGTACAAGATCAAAGTATAACCATATGAGAAATATACACTTTGTTTTTTTGACACTCGAGGTACAGCAATATTAAACAAAAACACAAATTTGCCATATATCATTTATTTTAATTTCATTTATCTGTCATACTGTATTTTCCTGTTCCCACCTCAGCTGCTCTTGGCTTCCTGACTGTCTCCAGTGGAGTTACCATGTCAGCCCCATTCCTCCTGGGTAAAGTGATTGACACCATTTATACTGCTGGAGCAGACACAGAGACAATGACCGCCTCCCTCACATCATTATGTATCATGATGACGGGGGTGTTCCTCTGTGGAGGGGCTGCCAACGCTGCCAGAGTCTACCTCATGCAGACATCAGGTGAGAAAGAGAGCCAAATACTCTACAGAGACACATGTTCACTCACAAGATCACTACAGGGTTCATCCAGCCAGCACTAAATGAAAACTCACTGATGTCCGCATCAATGAGCTGATGTCAGGAATAAGAAGAAGAAGAAGAATATTTATGGTCCTCAAATGTGGAAATATGCCTTCTGCTTCAATGGTTGGTTGAACACATCATAGTGAATCAGAACACATACAATAAATAACACGACATGTACAGACGACAATAACATGGACATGGTTTCAATGTGAATGCTGTTTACAAATTTAGCAGTTATTGCATTTGGTATGAATGACTCTAATAAATGTGTATATGTTGCTTCAGGGGCTATATAGTATAATATAGGGTCTAAAACATCACAAACAATTTGTCAGGTTCTTGTGTCATCTGTTTTTATGAACATGTCCCAGTTCCTATAGTTGTTCTGGCAATGACAAATGCCACTTCACATGGTAAAAGAGCCTGTTGTTATTTTTTCACAAATGTTATTTAATATGTGCAACTATCCACATTTATTAAGCTGTGAGCAACACAATTATTATTTTGACTGAATGACTGCCTGGAGTATTAATGAATCAAGTGACAGTGAGGTGTCTCTTTGCAACAGTCTCCTATCTTTATCTTCCTCACTAATGTCTATTGTCTTCTCTTTTCAGGCCAACAGATTGTTCGTAATCTCCGTGCCTCCCTATTCTCCTCCATCCTCAGACAGGAAGTGGCTTTTTTTGACAGAAATAGGACCGGAGAGCTTATCAACCGCCTCTCTGCTGACACGGCCGTGGTGGGCCGCTCCATCACTGACAACCTGTCCGACGGGCTGAGAGCCGTCGCCCAGGCCGCCGCTGGAGTCAGTATGATGGTGAGTGTAACCCTCCGGGGGTCTGCTGTGGGCGGGCAGGACAGATTTTAATAAGGAATGAATATGTTTCCTTTATGATACATTGATCTTTTGAAATAAATGTTTGAGATATTGTGTAACTAGAGGGTTTAAAAAACTTTAGTTGCAAGCACCAACTGTCTTTCTTGCTATTGACCCTCTGAAGCCCAAGCAGTTTTAAAGATCACCTATTATGCAAAATCCATTTCTTCATGCCTTTTATACATAACCATGTGTCCCCTCTGTGGAAAGAGATTCTGAAAGTTTCAGGAAAAAAGATTCTCTCACTTTTTGTCCTCATCCATTTATATAAAAACCTGTCTGAAAATGAGCCGATCAGATTTTGGCCACTTTTGGCGCGTTTCCACTACACGGCCTCGCTCGGCCCCGCTCGGTATGGCTGGGCCTCGTTAGGACTGGCTCACTTTATGGCGCATTTCCATTACAGTTTAGGAACTGGGGTAGTATCTATAGTAACGCAGTGTAGGCGGAGCCGTGACGTGATCTTCAATGAGAACCCCAGAAAAACAACACAGCCGTTAGCTGTTAGCACTCAGAGCTCACAGCTCCTCATATATGTTCAGAAACTAGACAAAAGTTAAACAAGTACAAACCACAGACTGCCTGTGTCATGGTGAATACAGTCGCTGCTTTATTTATGTCTGTATAGGCCGTTGTTGTGAGTGTGGACGGTCGGAGCATATACTGCGTTAGCTTAGCCAATCTCCATCTAGAAAAACACGCATTTTAAAAGGTTTTTCGCCTGCCGTCTGTCTGCAGACTTGACAAAGCATTAATTCATGGTTTTTACTAACCGGTATCAGTATGTTGTTACTTCGGCATCATTTTGAAACGTGCATTACAATTAAATCACGGTCAAATATGTCCATCTTGTTGTAGTTGTAGCCCCCTTGCCAGCGATGCTCTCTCTAGTTTAGCATACTCAGCCCGACTCAGCCTCGTTGTCTCTGGCCCTAGACCCGCGATTTTATGAGGCCAGAAAAACTGTGAATTAGGACCCGCCGGCCGGTACTAGGCCAAGTGGAAACGCAACCAAAGACGGGCCGCTGACGTCACAGCCCTCTTAAACCGTGCTCCGCGCTGTAGTGGAAACGCGCCATTCATGATGTCATAGTGATGTTTTGGCTTGTGTAACCATTAGCCAATCAGCAACCAAGGTAACCCCCCCCCCCCCCCACCTTATCACCTAAATCTCCTCCTAGAGCACCATTGTGTTCTTTTTAACCAAATATCTCTCAGAGGGGCGTGGGGAGTGGCTCCTTATTTTCATCTAAAGTAACAGACAGAGAATCAGCACTTTTGAAACCTCTCTTGCACTCTCCTTTCTGCTCTG